TGGTTTGATTTCTTTGTATGTATGGATCACTTGGGTTGTTACCGACATCTGGTGAAAATTTCACGTCATTAGCACCTCTAGTAATATATTTACTGAGAAAAATGGTGACGTGTTCAATACTTATTTTACCCGCTGTATAAAACCTTTTTAAACCAAAGCATGAGAGCCTAGTTCTGTCTTTTTTTTTTTTTTTTAGTTGAGTGGCTAAATTAACATTCTAAGCTTTTTGGCTGCAATAAACTATAGTTTTTTAACATAGACCTGAAAGGTACTGAGGATTTTTAATAGAGTTTTATCCCCCACCACCAAAATAAATAAATAAATAAATAAATAAATAAATAACTTATGATGGTTTTTCCTGTGTGCCTGCTAGCAAATTGTTTGTGAACCACTAGGTGGACTTTAACAAAACTCAGTCATACAGTAGATGGACATCTATAACGAAATAACATTTGGAATCAGTTTAATTAAGGATGACTGGTTGCTTTACTTTGGTTATTTATACTTTACTGAAGTAATTATTTTTCAGCTGACTTTTGCTGCTCAAATTTCATTTCTGTTTGTTTTCATTTCTGGCTTGTCATCATTAAAAAAGATCCCATTCAGATACAGTATAAGGCGCCTCCTTGATAGAGTGAATTTAATTGTGATTAGATGAGAAGTATAAATATATACCATTTCAGCAGCCTATTAGTCTGTATTATTCATCACCTGTACGACACAAATCACGTCACACTGCAGCACATGTCAGATGTACAGCATGTCACTGTCAAATTTATTTATATAGCACATTAAAAACAACAAAAGTTGACCAAAGTGCTTTACAGTTCAGTCAAAGTCTTGCATCAAAAACAAAACAAATACATAGATACAAACAAAATACAGAAACACACAATAAGAAAAATAAATCGGCTCTAACTCAACCTTCAGCAAAGATTAAAAAACATGTATGTAGTCTAGTATGAAGATGAGCGTGGCAGGGATACGTCTGTGTAGCTGAAACAGGAAGTATCCATCCATCCATCCATCCATCCATCCATCCATCCGTCCATCCATCCATCCATCCATCCGTCCATCCATCCATCCATCAATCCATCCATCCGTCCATCCATCCATCCATCCATTATCTATACCTGCTTATTCCTTTCAGGGTCGCTGGTGCCCATATCCAGCAGTCACAGTGCGAGGGGCGGGGTACACCCTGGACAGGTATCAAGTCCATCACAGTTTTCAACATTCTAATTATGGACTTTAGAAAAAAGTTTTATTTTTGGGGGGTGGGGGAGGGGGAGAGGTCACTTCCCAATAAATATCATTTTGGAATTTCTAACTTTCCCTCAGTACTTTTAATACTTAAGTACATTTTATATCAGAAATTTATTTTTGATACCCAAAAACAGTAAATGCCAGATACTTTAAGACTTTTACTCAAGTAATATTCTTAATGGAGACT